TACTCTGGAAAATAAATCCACATCTTCCTCTTCTTTTGATATGTGGGCCAGCTAACATGTTTGTGATTAATCTTGTCTATAAGGACAATGATGGTCAGAGATATGCATGTTATATATATTTAGACACGATTGATATACAACTTCCAGAATTCCCCACTTACATTAAGAAAAATGTGTTGAAAACTGCAGTTCCAACATGGGAGATTGCCACAGTTGATAAGTTAGATTTAAACTATACTATGGTTGTTCACACAGTCAGCCAGATACTTAAACTGGATTGGCATTTTCTCTACCTATTAAATCCTTCTCAAGGATCTGGGATATGATGGTGATGGTGGTGATTACATTGACCAGTGCCAGATCTCATTTGGAAGTTCAATAGGACTAGTTACAAGTTTATTTGTATAGTATATTTATTATATTTATTATTTTAAGAAAGTGTTGGCTAAAGAATCCTCTGATGCATCCCCTTCTTCACTGATAGTCACAATGTACTTCATGGCTTTAGCAGGATTGTCCTAGGAAGTTAAAATGATGTGTCACTTTGTCCTAAACAAAACAACTAAGAAGTCTGAAGTGTCGGAAAGTGTTGGAATATTACAGACGGTACTCTCACAGCCAATATTGCCACAAACTGAAGATGACTCTAGGGTTGTATATTCATGAATTTAAAAAATCATTTTTGGGTATCTTATTCTGTTAATATCCATTCAATGTGAAGTGGCTTAAGTGATTAGGAGCAAAATAGAAAAAAGAAGTTATATATTAATTTATGGCTTTTTAAAAAAACACACCCTAATTAAATCATACTAAGAGGGCAACTGGATAACTACATTCCATATGTTTTCAGGGATTCATAATAGAATCAGAGACAGCATATGTGCTTGGAGCAGAGGAGAAAGTAGAAAAAAATAATATAATTCAGAAATAAGTGAAGTAGTGTACGCAACCAAGCTTTGATGGTTCTTTTCAACTGATCATAGATAAAACATAATTATTTCATAGAACAATTCTGTTTCAAGATCTACCATTGGGGATAAATCTGTAACAAAAAAATAATTGTTTTGGTTTATGAGTAACATTTTCTCTTTCCAAGTGCGTTTGGTACTCACAAAGGTCATACTGCTTTGCTGACTTTCCTGACAGAACCCCATGACATAGTGGTTTATTAATAGTCCTAATTATTGCTATTTATGAATTACTGGAATTACTGCCATCTGTCACAGGCACCAGTGTTTGCCAAGCAGGGCTGCACTTGGTTAAATTATCATACAAACCACATCTAGAATATCAACAAGAAATGGCCCTAAAGTGCATCTATGTGCATAATAAAGTTATCTTGGGATGGGAGGGTATACTGCAGTCTCTGTTCATGTGATAAAAATATATCTCTCTAGACATTATTATGGATTTGCTGTGGCTGCTTTCCAGATTATTGTCTCTTTCAAAATTTCCAGTTAGCACAGTCTTTGGTCATGTTCTCTAGGCATTCTGATAGTTGGTACCAACATATCTGAAGGATACAAGATTGTGAAAGAATGCTTAAAGTCATTGCAAAACAAAAAACAAAAAACACTCCACTTTTGACACTCCACTTCAAATGCATTGTTTCCTAATTAATTTGCAAACAAGTGATAGGAAATGATACATGAAAAAAATAAGGTCCAAAAGATTCCCTTTTATTCCTTTATATCTCATCTTGATTACAGAATCCCATTGGGAAGAGGAATGCATATGTTTTTTTCCTAGTGCTTACTGTAAATCCAAGTACTGTGTATATGCGTGCATGTGGTGAGGAGGGTAATGTAAATTCAAGGTTTTTTAATGGGAAGCATGACACAAATATTTCAAATGAACACAAATCATATAGATCAGGCTTCATGCTGTTATGGCTTATAAACAATCATTTATGACACGATGTTTTATATGAACTAAAATTGAAATTTATTTCATAAACTGTAGATTCATGTGATGTGTCATCTAGGCTTTGGCTGTGATTAGGACAGGAACTGACAATGAATTGACCCCCAACTATTGTTAGTTCAGAATTCCTTAGATTGGCCATGCTAGGTAGAGATGATGGGGTTTAACATTTTATAACATCTCTGGATAAGAAACAGGACTTTATAAATTGTAATTCTCTGAAAGAGAATACTTTCACTTCCTGATTAATTAGCTTTTGAAAGTTATTGGATATTGTTCTATATAGTCATTAGCTGTTAAGCTGTTGTTTTTAGAAACAGGCTGACATATTAAGCAAATTCTTGCTCAAATTATGATTAATGTTTTTTGCAATTAATTGATCTGGAACTTGACTTGATTTGTCCAGACCTAGAATGGAAGGTTATTTCAAAGTTATCCTCACTTCCTCCCCCTGCTCATAGAAACAAGTTTAAAGTTGCTACAAAATGGAGCTACTCCACCTACATTATATTTGCTATTCCTCTTATGCTCTCTCAGCTTCTTTGCCATATGAAGGATGTGTGGAAAGGGATACAAAGCCTCAATTAGATCACCACAGATAATTTTCATTTTCTGTTTGTTCTGTATACTATTGGTTGGGGAGCAGGTAGAGTTGTGCAATGTATCTGTGGATTGATATGCTGGTTGTCTAGCCCCAGAATCTCACCATGACATATACATACATTTTCATATATATAATACACAGAGTATATTCTACACGAGAGTCAGTTTAGACTGATAGTTAAAGGTATCTGGTTAGAAAATAACTAGCAGTTATAATTCTCCCTTAAGCACAAAGCAGGCTTGTTACACTCAGTAACCCTAGGAAGAAGGCAAACATGTTGTCAAAAAACAACAACCATTGTCATGTCCAGGCAGTTGCCAGGAGTCAAGAGAAAGTCAAAAGTATTTTGGAGGAATAGTTTACATCCTGTTTTTTCAGTCATTCAAGTCAGTGAATGCAAAGGTCAAAGCAAGTGATGAAGGAAGATAGCTCCACAAAAGCAAGTCTGCAGTAAGCAGATTCAGAACACAGGTTGGTGGTAACAAGTGTCCATCTATCTCAGTTTCATAATTCAGTACCATGGAGAGCAATTCTTGCAGCCCAATTACAGTGTATCTGGAGCCACTAGACTGCATTCTCATAACATGGCTTCTCTACTCAGTACTCAGTGATGCAGTAGCTGATGATCAAAGGAATCCCAAGGCAGTTAACTTGATGATACTGAGAGATTCTCCTGTTTAGGGTTGTGTTTTGGAGAATTGAATTAAAAATAAAATAAAAACCCATTTGAGGACAGAAACAAGTAAGTGTTGTTCTCTTCCTACATATTTCAGAAAAGGGTGTTTAACAAAATAAAAAATAAAGTCTAGAGTACCTTGAGATGCCTTATCCCACAAGACTGGATGTAGATTCCCATTGATATGAAAGTAGCTAAAAATCTTTATGCTTTCCTGTATCTGCTGTGCTATATTATAATCTTGGTCAAAGTAGGAATCTGAGGCTGAGAACATTTTCACTAAACTAAAGCTCACTTCTGAGAGAGTGCTTGGCAGATCTCTCTTGATTTTATAACACAAAGTTGCAAATCTCAGATGGAAAGGTCTAATTCCATTTTCTCCTTAAAGTTGATACCATTAATTTTTAAGAGATTTGAAAGCATGACAATATTCTTCTTTACAAAGAAGTAAAAAATAAATGGTGGAAGTCATGCATATTGATGTGGTCAAAAATAATGGCCAAAACTTTCTCCACCTTTTTAATACACTACCCAGATTGCCCTTGTAAAGAACTTCCATTTTAAGCACTAACTCTATACCTGCAAATTTTACTAAAAAATCTGGCATAAAAGTTTACTATCCATGCTGACATTGCTCTTTTTTGTTTGTACATTTAGCTCTTCTTTAGAATCAGGATGGGAGATATGCAGTTAGTTGTCATTATAACCTAAAGCCCATGTAAAACATGTGGGAAGAGGCATTAGCATTTTCTTGCCACACTCTTTAAAATTCTTACTTAGAGGTATACTGCCTTCAATATAGCAATGCAGCCATCATTACTAGATTCCATTGGCAGTTTAGGTTTCTGTACAAATAAATACCTCTGTGGTGGAAGGAAGTTTATTTTAGATGGCCACACATTAGGTTTAAATATCTCCTGGCCAACAAAGTTTTTGCCCCCAGCCCAGCCTAGCCCAGCCCAGCCCAGCCCCAGTGTCCGTTTGATTGTTTTAAAAAAATCTTATATAGCTTGCAATGTACTGCCAAATATATCCTTAACTGAGATTGTATGATGATATGGGTTTGAAACAATCATTTACTGTCCCAAGCTTCTTTTAAATGGAGCATTTTTGTTTAGTAGAATTTAAGAAATGTCAGAGTATGTGGAATGTGCTATCTGGAGGTTTCAGTAATGGATGGCATTTTAATAATTTAAAAAAAATCAGTCATGTGTGGCATTTTAATAAAAAATCACTTTCATATTGGGTATAAATGAAATGTTATATTAGTCTTTAGTTAAAGAGCAGAGCTATCTCAGTAACTCCACACAAACAATATCTCCACCCAGGTTTGCTTTGATTATGTTACAGATGTTATGCATCTGTATGGGACATGACTGTGGAAGGGTATTGATGTGCTTGAATATTGGTATTGGAGAAGATTATTGGCAATGTTATGGATAGCCAAGAAAACAATCAGAGGTATAATAGAACAAATCATTCCAGGGTTCTTATTTAAGGCACACCAATGACTAAGCTCAAATTATCCTATTTCAGAGAATGTGAAGATCTAGCTCGCTGGAGGAGGCTCTAATGCTGAAGAAGGTGAAAGAATAAAAAAGGGCAACAAGCGGATGTGGATGGATTCCATTAAAGCTGTGATAGATGCACCATTGGAAGAGCTGAAGGACCAAACTGGGGACAGATCACCGTGGAGAAAATCTGTTTATGTGGTTACTAAGAGTTGACACCAATTTGATGGCCCTTAATCAATTTAACAACAGAATAACATATATTTTGATAAAAATAGCTACTCACCAGCAATCTGATGTCAGTATCTGGATCACAACTTGAGCTGTAAGTAAGCATAAATGCAAATATAATTAATATAATATAATAATATAATATAATATAATTAATATAATATAATTAATATAATATAATTAATATAATATAATTAATATAATATAATATAATATAATATAATATAATATAATATAATATA